TCTTAAGTTAGTAATTAGGAAGTATCGAACACGAAAGGTCCAATCACAAACACATGCCTGATGAATTGGTGGATACATAGCATTTAGGCAGACTGGGCAGTCCAATAGTTCACGGACATTCGTACTAGAGGCTGTTGTATTATGCTTTAAAGCATTCTGCATGGTCTCATTGACTTGTTCGCCAACATCCATCATGTCTTTTGTTTGGGGGGAATCAGTGACCTCAGCTTTACTTCGCACATCATCAAAAAATAGAGTTCCAGTTGCCATAGCTAACACAATAGTAATTGTTCCTGCATATGTCAGTAGATTGCAAACAACTTGATCACTCATCAAACTCTTGAGCCAAAAGAACAGAACAAGCATGAAAGATAAATTCCAACTCAAAACTGAGTAAAAGAAATCTCCAATATTAATATGAAAATTCAGATAAAAAATCATTTAAGTCGCCAGTTGTGCCAGGAAAATTCAGATAACAAATTAATATGAAAATATGAAAGACATCAATGAAGTTAAAAAAAACCACTCGCTCTGTAAGCATATAATGATAAGAGTTTCACTTCCGACTTCCGAGGTTAGATGTAAAGGGTGCATCATACTCTGAACCAATGAACATCCCCAAAAAGTCATGGCACCAACAAAAATCCCATTGTCTATATTTATTTATAATCAATCTTTCAAGAAAAATGAACCTATCAGCAAGTTTTCAATGAACTACACAACTACTTATCACATTTGAAAATGAAATGGAAACATAGCCATAAAAGACAATACTACTTTTAGCAAAGAATCATTTTCTTTTCAAGTTCTATATATGAGAATTAACGGAGTGCATCTATTCCCCTATCAACACAGAATCAATCTTTCTGCAAGAATCTATGAAGGTAGCTTTCCAGCTTTTGCATGAAAGAAAACAAATTACAATGATAGTCATGCCTTTGCAGCTGCACAATTCCCCCATTCAAATAGAAAGAACATAGCAGGAGACCCAAATAAATTACAAAACAGAAAGTAAATTTTGGGAAAGACAACCTTTAAATAGAAAGTGAAACTATACAAAAGATACAAAACATATCCAAAATCCAAAGCAGATCTGCAATGCTCCATTACCATAAAAAGGGATAAAAACCCAGCATTCAATATGAAACTAAAAATCAACCCACATCATTTCAACGCAAAAGCTCCAACCTTTGCTGGAAAAAAACACATACCCAGAAGATGGATTGCTATTAACTACGAAGACATACAGATGAAAGGGAGGCAATACCTATTATTAGACTGATAGGTGGGTATTGGGTTGGGGTGCGTGGGTAAGCGAGTATTCAAAAACTCATCATCATCATCATCATCAAAAGAGCATAGAACCCTAAAATAGGAACCCTAGAAAATGGGCACTCTCAGATATATACCCGCCTCTTCTGGGAAGTCAACGAGGGGAAAAATTCAAATCAAATCGGAAATACCATTCCTGGTAATCGAGGGTAATTTATGAGGAAGGTGCCAATGAAGCAGGCGGGATTCTTGAGGCACTGCACGGTTCAAGAAGAGAGGAACTTGAGAATTCAATTTTCAAATTGGGAGTCCTTTGAGAGAGAGAGAGAGAGAGAGAGAGAGGGAGAGCTATGAGCTATATCTCGAATGAAAACAAAAAGGATGCATCAAATCGAAGAAAACAAGGCGAAGCGGAGCTGGGTCGGGGGCCCACGCGTTGGGTGTGTGGGGAAACCGAAGCGGAAAACGGACGATTAGACAGCACCACCGCATCGGAGGCCGCCATATGGATTTGGTAGTAAAACTGTTAAATTGAAGGAGAGACACTGTGCACCCATCTTTGAATTTTTTAATCCTTCTTTTTCAAACTTGCCACACAATATTTGCTGCTCTGTTTCTGCTCATGTGCTTCCCATTTTGATATGGCCCAATGATGTTTTTAATAATGTCCTCCTTGAAAGGAAGAAAAAATAATCTATCCAATCGCAAATTTGATTACAAGTTGGGATTTAGGAGATAAATTTTATATATTTAGAAATCATTTTAGTTACAAATTATTACATCAATAAAAGATAAAAATTATATATTAAAAAAATACAGTAACAAGAATATTTTATTTTATCAAACAATCAATAAAAACAGAGAAATAAAGAAAAGTTAACAAGGAGAAGGAGAAAAACGAATTGTAATCAAATTTGAGACGGAAGGAAGAAAATAAATATTAGAGACACAAATTTAAATGTCATAAAAAGTTGGGATAAATGCACACGAAAAGAGTACACAATTACGAATTAACTGTAAAAAAAATAAATGATACAAAATTTAAAGTGATTCGGTCTCCAACTGCAACCTATGTCCATACAAAGCAACTGAAGATTTTAATTCTTGTTGTTAAACAATATGATTAAAAGCATATAAGCATCTCTTAAATAGAGAATATTAAGGGCAATGATTAGGCCAATGCCACAGAGTATCTTCTTGATGAGTTTCAACCAACTTCTTGTTGATTTTCACATAGGTTCTGTTGACCATGTGTGCATCAATTGTCTCGCGGTGGAGACTTTGTCGGCCAAGTAACAATCGAATATTGCAAGTACTTGTGTGTGCTGAATACACTATAAGGCTATAATATGCACTTGAAGAGTTGGTAGCATTTGAAGTCCTACAAGTAGTATCAAGGCCAAAGTCACGAGTTCGCTTTCCAACAAGAGCAATTGCTGAGTGAGAGATTATTGGCCTTGTGTGCATCAATCGTTCTGTGGCGGAGGTTGTGTGATCTAAGTCATAATCAAACGTCGTTGGTGTTTGCGTATGCTGAATATACTGTAAGGTGAGGGTATGTGTTTTTTCTAACACCATTTGATTTTATAAAGATTGGTAGCGCCTAAAGTCCTACAAGTGCTATGAGAGCCAATGCCACGAGTTCGACTCTCTACGGGAACAATTGTTGAGGGGAGATTGTTGGCCATGTAATTTATTAATAACTTATTTTAATCAATTAATTTTAGGGAGTGTTTTGAGGCTGTATTATCTTTCAAAATTAAGTGAATAACCATGCTACCCCATATGATTTTGGAAATGGATGCCAATGCCTCCTCTTCTTTTTCTTTTTTCTTTTCTTTTTTCATGAAGAGAAAAAAAATGTTTGCGAGTATAATAATGAAAAGTTGTTTTTCAAACCTACATTTTAAAAAAGTTTGTGTTTGAAATAAAAAAAATAACATATACTTCATCTGTCAAATTAAATATTTTCATTTTGTCTAAAAAGTTTTTATCTTTTTGAATAGTCAGGACCAAGAGAATAATCAGTAATGTATTTTTTATTATATACGAAGTAATTAATTATATATTAATAACAGTTTTTGGGCCGATGTACACAAGATTTCCTTCATGACTTAAATTACCATATTTTATAAAAGTGTTTTTATGCCTTTCTTTTCTTTAATTTTAGTTTTGATTAAATTAAAAGAAAAGGTATTAAATTAATCAAGATAAAATGAGAAATGAGCTTTAGTGAAAAGAGAAAATGTTTCATTGATTTTCTTACATGAAAATAAGCCAATAAAGATCTTTTTTGGATAAAAAAATGAGATTGTTTAATTTGAAACAAATGAGGTGTACATTAATTTTTATTATTTAATTGACTTTTATTACAAACACAAAACAATTGATTATTAAAAGATTATAAAACTAATTTTAAAAAGGAAATTAAAAAAATTATTAAAATAATAATAGAAAAAGAAAACAATAAAGAAAAAGGGGGCGTTTGTGCCAATTTTCAAAAACATAAGTGGCACCGGAACTATTCACATAATATTTGAAAAATATTTTAGTCTAGAACAACATTGACGTAGCAATATCAGAAAAATGAGAGAAAAAGGTATAAATTTTGAAACCTTGAAAGATAACGATGCACATTTACTAAACCACAAGGGATCTCACTTGAATACACAACTCCTATTTTACCCCTACTCATACCTGTCATCCTTCGATGACTGATGCAAGTTTTTTTAATAAAAATTTAAAATTGAAATTGTTTTTAAAAATACTTTAAAATGGAAAGTATGTACAATTTGTTTATATATTTGCAATACTCTCTCCGTCCAAGAATATATGTCAGTCTAAAAAATTAAAAAATCACACTCTTTGACTTCATTTTATCTGAAAAATTAGTGTAAAAACAAAAAAACTAACCTTTAAAAAACTACGTCAAAATTCTATTAAAAAAGATATGGGAAGTATGAGATTTATTTATTTACTAGTAGTATTTATTGTTATTGTTGTTACTATTGTTATTAATAATAATATTATTATTGTAATATAGATTTTATTAGGTGAGCAAAATTATAAACTCTTTCGAGATTTCTTACTCCCTCCGTCCCAATTTATAGTGTCTGTTCGAATTACGATGATTGACTGAAATAATTTTCAAATCATTTTATATGAAAAATGATATAAAGTTAAAATAAAAAATTACATATTAAAATACTACATGAAAGAAGTACAATTGGGACGGAAGAAGTACAATTTCGTCCATTTCATTTAGTTTTTTTCCAGTTTTCTCAGCAACGGCTTAAAAAAATATTTATATATGATGAATATACAATAATATTATATATCTAAATTTATATCATATTACTTAAAATACATACAATGATGAACTTTTTTTTATATCTAAAGTTATAGCTTTCTTACATATTTTTTAGAGTGATTATTTAATTGATAATTTTTTAACACTAATTTTTTTAATATTTTTCTGCTCTTTCCAATTTTTTCTTACTCTTTTTTTAGTTTCTTTCTACATCTAATTATGAAATTGTATTTCAAAAGAATATGAACTCGTTATTTTTAATTTACTAGAAATCAATAAAAAAGAAAAAAGAAAAATCAACCAAGCTACGCCAAACAAAGGAGTTAGTTATTGGACGGGCTAGCGTGCAGTCCACCAAAATTCAAGGACCCGTGAAACGACCCATTTAGGACAATCGGGTTTGGAGTTTGGCCCGACTCACAGAATCCCCAAAGCAAAAGTTCTCCCTGCAAAACCTCCGCAGCTCCCGGCTCAAGAGAAACGAAGGAAGAGGGAAAGCGAGCAGATTCACGTCTCAGTTCCGAGCTCATTCAGTGCTCGATACCATGCCGGATGTTTCCCTAGTCAACGACTTCATCGTCAAGCTCAAGAAACGGTATCGATTTCTATTCCTTTCCGGCGATTCCTCACCGGTTGAGTCTTTAATTCTTACACCTGACGTTTTCCGTTATTCTGCAGTAAAATCGAGGGCTCCAAAGCGACGGCCAAGCTGACGGCTGAGCTGCTTCGCACTTTTATTTCGCAGCAGAGGCTTCCGCATGCGAACCAGGCCGGAGCTCTCATCGACGCCGTCAAAGCCGTCGGGGAAAGATTAATTGATGCCAATCCTGTAGGTAAGCACAAGTGGAGGTTTCTTCTATTGCACTGGTTAGATCATATTTTGCGTATAAAATGCTTTGTGTAAAGTTTTAACTTGAAAGACCAGGCCTTCTAAATTTTCTGAACTTCATAGTTACTATGGGAGTTGGGTACTTGGTATGTGTATTGCATTATCATATGAGGGTTAAACATAGAGTTTGTTTCAAATGTGGAAACAAGGACATGCTTGTTTGTTCAAATCATGATTTATTATATTCTTAGACCCCAGATGTTGGCTAGGAGAAGATGTTCATGCCTCTTTCTATGTAGACATTGTGTCCTTTCCACTCTCATTGATATTCGCTTTTCGGATTTTCAATTTTATAGCTTGTTAAGGACTTGTTGTAATCTAAATGCAGAACTTGCTGTTGGTAACATTGTGAGGCGCGTTTTACATATTATTAGGGAGGAGGATGCATCCTTAACTACTGATGCAATTGGTGAGTTAAATATATCAGCTGGAAGTGATGATGAAGACCATATGTATCATGATGATCATCCAGATTTATCTGCTGCTGCTGTGGTAGCTGCTGCCCGGAGCACATTGAGGGCACCTTCCTTGCAGACTTTGCTTGAAGATTTGCCACACTCAACAACTGTTACCAATACTCCTTCCTCCGGAGGAGACTCTGAAGGAAAAAGTAAATGTGAGCTTTGAAGCCATACATAATAAGATGAAATGAACTTTTCTTTCTAAGCTTGTCAGTTCTTTTTCTTTTTAAACCCATCAGTGACAATAAAGATATACTAAAATGTGTGAACGGACAAATTTTTTTAATTTTTTTCCTGATCTCATTATGTATATCGTGTTGGTATTTTAGAACATGTAAGGAGTTGTAAATATTCATTTGATGATCATTCATAGGGTTTGGAACACACACTTTTCATGTAATTTAATGTTGGTAATTTTATATTTGTGTACTTGGCAGCTGCTGATAAGAGCTTGCAATCTCGGAAACTGAAGCATAATGTCATTGAGGCTGTTAATGATCTTATCCAAGATATAACCACTTGCCACGAACAAATTGCAGAACAGGCCGTGGAACATATTCATCATAAGTATCTATCTGACCAATCTTCTGTATTGCTTCATAGATTTCTCAAACACAACATATTGCTTGTTCAGCGTATTTCACATCCACAGTAGATTAAAAGTTTCTTGATATCTTACCCGTCCAACCTTTGTTGTTTGAATCATGTCAGTATGCAATCTTGAGTCTTTTGGCTAACTACAAGAGCTTACTTACTTTATGTTCCTCTTGTTCACACTCATAATATCAAAATCTTATAGTCAATATTTTCCACTTTTTTTTTTTCATTTCAGCGAGGTAATATTGACATTAGGCAGCTCAAGAACAGTATTAGAGTTTTTATTTGCTGCAAAGGAAAAGAAGAGATCATTCCGAGTTTTCGTTGCAGAGGGTGCACCAAGGTTTTAAACCTCTAGAAACAGCTGATTACTTTTCACACTAAGTTATTAGTGAATACTTACCCTAATAAATGTTGTTATTGAATATTTGAATACAGTCTATTATTGCAAAGGTCATTTTCATTACGTAAATTTGTTTACCCCTCATTTTTTGAAAGCTAATTTCTTTTTTTTTTCAAACTTCATTTGCTAATTCAGATATCAGGGACACACTCTTGCGAAAGAATTGGTTGCAAGGGGACTGCAGACCACTGTCATTACAGATTCTGCTGTTTTTGCAATGATTTCTAGAGTGAATATGGTATGGAATTGCAGTTTCCTTTTTACCTATAAAGTGGATTGTTTCATCCCAATATTGTCTGTTACTGAAATCTGACACTTATTGCTTGAAGGTTATAGTTGGAGCTCATGTAGTCATGGCCAACGGGGGAGTTATAGCGCCAGTAGGGATGAACATGGTGGCTTTAGCAGCCCAAAGGCACGTTGTTCCTTTTGTTGTACTCGCAGGCGTTCACAAGGTATTCGCATATAAGGAGCTATATTGCTATTAGGTTTGTTTGATTATTTATTGGTGATTTAGTTTATATCTTGATATATATTGGAGATTTAAGTGTAGAAAAAAGTTAAAACTTAGCAATATCTTATAAAGTAGTGCATATGGCAACAATATGATAATAATTCAATTGTATATAAGTGTTTGCAAAATGCTAATGCAAAAATAGAAGAATTAAGAACAAGAGCAAAGACACTTAGAAAGGAGATGACTATGAACTTAGAGAGGGTAGAAAAATTGTTGTAAGGGAGGGGACTAGGGGAGGTATTTAAGTGAGGGGAGGTATTTGTGGGAGAGTGAAGCATTAGGGTTTAATTAGGTTGTGTTTTGAATTGATTACTTAAGCTTCCGCACTGTTTGGTTTTACTCCGATTGATTTTAAATAGCGCTTTGAATAATTAAATCCTTTAATTTGTTTGAAAAAAAGGTTTAATTAGGTTAGATAAAGTAGATAAGGGTAGGTTTAGTGGCCCTATTGTGCATGGTTGACGTGCTCCACAATAGATGTGCTAAACCATGCGACGATTAACCCTAATCCTTCAATCTCTGTAATGATAAACAATCTAACTACCTCCTTTATGGGCAACCAATTCCATGCTTCTGAAAAATCAGCTCAACTTCTCACTTTTCATGAATCAACTGTCCAGACCGTTTTTCCCATACGGTCGACCGATTCATGGCTCATGAAAATTCTGTTCGGCCCTCCATTTTCACGGTTTAGTCCTTGGACTGTTCTTGTGCTCCGCTCCACCGGTTCTTCACTCCCAAAAAATGACATTGGCTTCCTGTTTTCATAATTTGGTGGCTGCATCGATCCTATGGTATGGTTGATTGTGGCAAGTTTAAATGGGAATGAAGGAAAAGGAAGGAGATTGTGGGAAAAAAACATTTTTATGCAAATGCTTCGAGCTATGTCATATATGATACTGTTGAGTGTTGACCATATATTCAACTTTTTCACAATGAGGTCTAAACTACAACTAGTGTGGGCAATCCACGTTTTGCAAGTGTAATGTAATTGAGTGGATTGGGATGTACGTGCAACACTTAAACAAGTCGTTAGTCAAATATTACTTCCTACATCCCACTATTTTTGGGACATGATGGAGTGGTACGGAAATCAAGAGAAGTAAGATTGTGTAGTTGATATTGATGTTAAAAAGTACGATAAAGTAAGAAGGAATTTGAACAATTGAACCAAACAAATATGACTAAATATGGTATGACTTATGAGACAAAAAAAGTTGGATGAACAAAAATGTTTAAAAGGGACAAAAGTAGTTGGACGTGGAGAGTTTTTCTTAACATCAAAATGGAGGCACAACAAGGCGTAACAACTTTTCATCAATTTTTAGAAACATTCTATTTATCAAGATATAATCCTAAGAGCTTGATTGGCAGAGTGGGATAACTTGTGGCATGTGTGATTTTATCATTAGAATTTTCTCATTTGAGCACTAAGTGCATTTATTAAAGAGCAGCAGTCTGTTACTTTCTCCATTCTCACCAAAAGCTTTATGTTGAAGTAAAAGCACGTCTCTCCCTTGAAAAAACATCTACTCTTTGAAAACAAGTCATCCCAATCGCTCTCTAAGCTTGCCAAAGCTTTCCGACCCCTAAAATACTCTCCATCTAAATAGGGCCTGTAGCTGAACATCCACACAATTCATATCAGTATATCACATCATTCATGGACACGGAAAATGTGACCTGTCTAACATTGTTTGCCTAAATGACAGTTGTGTCCCCTATATCCGCACAACCCTGAAGTTCTACTAAATGAGCTGAAGTCCCCATCCGAGCTATTGGATTTCGGAGAATTCTCAGACTGTCTGAACTCTGATATTGGCTCTGGTTCCCCTCTCCTACAAGTTGTCAACCCTGCATTTGATTACGTGCCTCCCAATCTAGTCAGCTTGTTCATCACAGACACGTAAGTTACCTTTTGTTGCCGTTTTATTTAACTGCCCTGTATTGTTCACTAATCATCAGGCATATATGGAAAAATTCATGTCAAAACTCCTAGAAATCTGAGACTTTAAACAAATGCTCCAAGATTGTTTAAACCAGACATGAATTTTTCCAGCATATATTTGTTAAAATTCTAATGTGTGTTGATTCGTGGTTTGGTTGCAGAGGTGGGCATAATCCTTCATACATGTACCGTCTCATTGCTGATTATTACTCTGCGGACGACATGGTGTTGCATTGAACTTGTGCATCCTTCCTAGAGTGAACTGCTTTCTTTGTCCGGCCACATTTTTCGTTTCTAGTTTTTTTCCCTGTTTGGACAATTTTTTATTTGTGGGTTATAGATGAATGAAGCATTAAAGCTTTTGTTATTACTGCCCTCACATATTAAAAAAATCAAACTAAATATGTTAAGGGCATATGAGAAGTGAATTGTGGTTCTCAAAACAAGTATACAGTCTCTGCATTTGTATTGATAAGAAAAGCTAGGGGTAGAGAATGGGTTTGGAAAATGATATGATTTGACGAAAATGGGTTTAAAAGAATTTGATTGCCATCTTCTTAAACAACCATTTGGTATGGTGGCGTTGGAATTGAGCCCTAATTAGTCACTCCCTGGACGATTCTGCCCTCCGATGGTGAGGTGGCGTTCAAGCAGCTGGAACCCACTCTCTCTTCTTTTTTTGAAAATTCGTTGTCTGTACAAATTAATTACCGCAAATGCTGTATATAATCTTTATATGAGTGTGGTAAGTAAATTTTAACCATCCTAATAAGAATTTTTTTTTGCAAAATAGTATGCAAAAATGCTTAAATATTTATTTGTCACACTCGAAGGTCAACCTAAAAAGGTGTGAACGTTATGTCCACTAAAGAAGCATTCTATATTTCTATGTTAAATATATGGAAAATGCTAGGGGTACACTTTGGTGTATCCCAAATATCCCTCACTCCCTCCATAACAACAAAAAAAGGCATGTAAAATTTTTTTTAAAAAAATAAAAATAGAAACAAAAAAATGAATGGTGCAGAGACAAGTGGTGTACATTTGGGGTACATTTTTTGGTGTACCCCTAGCATATCCCTTAATATATATACTCCCTAAAAGGTTGTTGGCTGTTGTTATTATTATTTCTCTGTTGGGTTAATGAAAGTTGCTTGTTTTTAAAAAATACACCCCCTTTTTTTGGCTATTTCTACCCTCTTTTATACGGAGTATCAAAGACACAAGTTTATCCTTAATGTATAAAAAATAGAAAGATAGAAATGAAATGACAAATTTGTCCATTTTAATAATTGAAGTGAATTTAATTTGAAACTCAAGGTTGGACAATAATATGGAAACTCAAGGTCCCGAACAAGGTCAAATAGTTGGACAATAATATGGAAACTCAAGGTCCCGAACAAGGTCAAAATTCTGTTATGGACAATGAGCCATGATAAAGTGTTGGGAAACGCTGAGCGCAAAAGGAGAGGCCTCACGGTCGATGGAAATTGCCTTGTGTGTAGCGGCCAAGAAGAGACAACTGAGCACATGTTCAAGACCTGCACCAAGGCTACACATGTCTGGAACAACATTGGAGGTAATGTGGATACAAGCACTGGTGGTGGCGTCAAGAATTGGATCCACGGAAATCTTTTGCAAAAGAGAAACAACAACATTGATGGTGACTAGGGTATCATTTTTGCCACTGCTTGCTGGTGGATCTGGCGGTGGAGAAATGTTATGACGTTTGGCAGGGAGGAGCTTGACGATAGACGAAAGCCATGTTGGATCAAAGAGGCGGTCAAAGAAACCAACACAGCTTTTGCAAGGCAACAAATGGCGAGCAATTTTACCAATTATACCGATCACCCACTTAAGTGGAGGATGACTCAGAATTGTGAGTGGAAAGGGGGCTTTACGGCTAATCACTTATCAACAAAGCAGGCATCGGTGGAATCCTCCGAAACAGAAGAGGTGAGTGGAAAGGGGGTTTTACGGCTAATGTTAGTCCAAATTGTGCGATGTCAGTGGAAGTCATGGCAATTGCTAGAGGCATTGAGTGGGCTTGGGAAAAGGGTGTTAAGGAACTTGAGGTTCAGACAGACGCGAGTGAAGTTATAAAGTGGATGGCCGACTACACTTCTCTTAGGGGCCCTAATCGTGATATCATTGATGAGATAAAGCATACCTGGCAAAGAAAGTTTACAAGGCTTGAGTTCAAAAACATCTTTCGAGAGCAAAACTTTGCGGCTGATTGCCTTGCTACAATTGAAACCTTTCAGGAGGCAAATTGGATAGACCACGAGGACCCTCCGCCTGGGATGGATGACATCATTGCTAATGACATGATGGGTGCTACCAGAGTTCGTAGAGTGCACCTGAGTTAGTTTGGGGTCTCCCCTCCTTTTTGATAAAAAAAAAAATAACTTCTTATGTAAAATATGCATAAAAGGCCCAGAATAAAAAAATTTAAATTTATGAAATATTATTGTACAAAATAATCGTATATAAAGATGAGTCCATTGGTGGCTTTCGAAGAAGATGAAAGAACAATATCGAATCTAAGGAACAAGATGAGAAAAAACGAGATTGGATCTTAAGAAAGATAGAGGGACGGATGAGTGGAATAGATCGAGGACCATCTACGGTCTATTGTGTAACTGAATGAGATGAAAGAAGTAGTTGTGGATGTTAGATACGAGTTGAGTAAATTTTAAGTTGGAAGGGTAAGATAGACATTTAGAAATACTAGTATTTTAACCCATGTCTGCACGGGCGGAACAAAAATTATTTTTACTCTGTTCTTTTTTTCTTTGCAGTTAACGATTAAAAAATCCAGCAAAATGTAACAGCAACCTATAGAATTTAACAAATGATATACTCCGTACCATAAACATTTGCAATGGACATGTAAAAGATGGAGCTGTTTACAGTTTATATGGTGGAATGTAGTGCGGTTGAAGACGGATGAAATGGGAGTGGACTCATGTTCTTGTCAAAACCACTGTCCCGTCGTTTCTGTGAAAGCGCCGCCGGAGATCAAATTCTCGCCGCCATCATTCAAAACCGGCCGGTCGACGCCAGCCTCCTCCTCCCCTCACCCAATCGTCCCGTGTGGACTACCGACACAGTCTCCGAGGTCCTACGCTCCATTCCCAGATTCCTCTTCCGGTCACCCAGATCCATCGGCCGGCAGAGTGGCTTCCGCCATCGCTCCCCTTTGAGACAGAGAAATCTCAGAGAAGAATCCGACAAGGCTCGCACCGGAAAGCTCCTCCTCGGCCCGGCTGCTTACAGAGACCCCGAAAAAGTGAAGCTTGGTCTGGAAAAAGCGTTGGAATTCTTCGATTGGGTCGAGACCCATTCCGGGTTCACCCACGATGAGCTCACTTGCAGAGAGATGGCCATCGTTCTGGCCAAAGGAAGCGGATTGCTGAAACCCCTTCTGTTCTTCCTCAAGAGAATGTCGAAGAGAGGGCTGGTCACCACACCCACCATAACCTGTTTGATAAAAGTCCTAGGAGAAGAAGGGCTAGCAAATGAAGCCCTTTTCACCTTTTACCGAATGAAACAGTTCCACTGCAGACCAGACGTCCACTGCTACAATACTCTCATCTACGCTCTCTGCAGAGTTGGGAAATTCGAAAAGGCCAAGTCTTTGCTCCAGCAAATGGAGCTGCCCGGGTTTCGCTGCCCGCCGGATAAATTCACCTACACGGTTCTCATCAGCTCTCACTGCAGGCATGCCATGGAAACCGGATGCAGGAAAGCGATAAGGAGGAGAATGTGGGAAGCGAACCACCTGTTTCGTCTCATGCTGTTCAAGGGCTTCGCCCCTGACGTCGTGACCTACAACAGCCTCATAAACGGCTGCTGCAAGACCTTCCGGATCGATAGGGCATTGGAGCTGCTGAGGGACATGGAGAAGAGGGGCTGCGACCCAAACCGCGTCACGTACGGTTCCCTCATCAGGTATTACAGCGCGGTGAACGAGATCGAGAAGGGGGTGGAGATGATGAGGAGGATGGTGGCAAGGGGCCACGGCGTGGCCACAAACAGCTGCTACACGCCGCTGATTCACGGCCTGTGTGAGGCAGGAAGGGCGGTGGAGGCATGGGATTTGGTGGTGGAGTCGGTCAAAGGCGGGTCAATCCCAAGAGAGCACACATACAGTATGGTCATCAAGGGGTTGGAAGCAGCAGGGGAAATGAAGCATTTCTTGGATGGTGGTGAAGTGTGTTCCAGGATTGAAGAAGGCATTTTCTGCAGAAGTAAGGAAGCAGAGAAACACAAGCCTTTCTTTGCCCGGAAAAATGCCTTGTTCTAACCTTTCTTGTTTTCCTCTCAATCCAAAAAAGAAGAAAAAAAATCTTTATTCCCTCTACCAAAAATCTATAACCAAACTAAACAACATTTTAAATAGGGAGGGAGGAATGGAGTTATATTCATTCACTACAATGGTGCAATTGGAGTGTGGTAGTTGGATTGAGTTCCCTCTTTTTGGATAAAATTTTAGTGTGGTAGTTGGATTGAGTTCCCTCTTGATTTTGTTTTGAATGGTGCAAACTTTTAACTTCATCCTCTTACTCTTACAGACAAAACTAAAGAAAACATTTTTCATTAGGGAAAATTAATCCTAACCATTTTAAGAAATATGAGCTTTTTTTTAATAATGCTGTAAGATTACATAATTATCACTAACGTTTCTAGAAATTCAATATTTTTACTATAAGAAAATTTTTAGTTTACATGAATCCTGCAATTTTTGAAACATATTGGTGATCAAGATGTAATTTTGGAGTGTTCATGTAAAACAATATTTGAATTATGAGAGCATAACGGCATGTTATTTTGAATAATTGTAAACACATTTAATTGAGAGATGGAAAAAATGGGCAAAAATTTGGGGCAAAGAAAGTATATGCTTCGGCCATTTTTAAAAGCAATTGTGCAGCATATTACTCCATATTAATGAATCTTATAGAAAATTCTTATAATGAAACTTTATAACTAGTGTTAACCCCGTGCTTCGCACGGGCTTGTATATATTCTAAATTTTTGAGACTCTATAAATATAATTATAGTTGTTTTAGTTTTCTAATAATGAAAAAATATATTTTAAATTGGTAGAATATATATTGGTATGTTAATTTAAAAACAAACAAATTTTACAAAATTAATGGTCATTGAATTAAGTACTAATAAAAAAAGTTTTAATTAATAAAATATTTTTATAAAAAGTGGATTAATTACATAAGGATACATCATTAGAGAATGTATATGTGTCATAATGTCACTTGTCAATTGTCATCCTTCAATTAAGCCAATTGTATTCTATTTACTTTGTTAAAAAATATATGTAGAAATAAAATAAATAATGTAATAAGATAAAATTTTTGAAACAAAGTATTTAATTAATAAATAATATGCATATGTGATTAAATTTATATAATCATATTTTGTAAAGTAATAAACTAAAATAAGTTGTGGATAGTATGACAATAATTATATATATCATGTGTATTATATTTTACATTGGTGAAACATATATTTATAGAGTTAAAAATGAAAAAGTTTTATACAAATATTTTCAAAGATATTTAAAAAAAATCTAAATGGACCAATGAATTAAAATGATATATCCACCTCATTAGTGGATGCACATGTGGTATGCCACATGTCAACACTACTACAAATAAACTCTACTATATATATATATATATATATATATATATATATATATATATATATATATATATATATATATATATATATATATATATATATATATATATATATATATAAGAGTTTCAAACCCAATAAATTTACGGCTAGGTTCCGTGGCCACGGAAGTCACTGCCCTCCTACACTGCTCCGTTCATAAAATTGATGATTCCTAGACCCCAACTCATCCTTTCACGTCAATTGCACCCCGTGAGTATAATTGACGTGGTTAGGGGATGAATTAGTGTCGAGATTGGCAGAGGGATTACCGGGGGTTAGGCGGGATAAGAATCATCAATTTTACGAACGAAGAATCGTAAGTGTCCGTAGGGGGGGCAGTAGCTTTTGTAGCCACTGGAATCCAGTGGCCACGGACTGGCTTGGACAAGAGGCAAAAATCTCAATTTTTTTCTAAATTCCCAAAATCACACACACTTAACAAATGCAAGTAAACCAATATCAATTACACAACTCTACCTTTTCCTTATTTAAATGTTTCTTGTACATGTCTTAGGGGAAAGAGAACGTATGAAATTATTTTTACACTATTAGAAATACAACCAAGTTAACTTACAAGTTACAAACAAGCCAGAGCAATATGAGAAAAGAATGCTAAAAGGAGTAAATGTATACACCTAACCAACGACTAATTTACCAGATGAAGATTGCACAGTAGTATCGCCATCGCCCCCTACATTGAACCAGAACAAGAGGGATGTTCTACTGTAAATGACTCGGACTTGCTGCAGTGTGAGTGTACCACTGGTAAGAACAGCCTTTGAACCTCCTTCGATTCGGGTCCGCGAGACTGAAACACTGTCGGCACTAGCTGTACTAACAATTGCATAGGACAGATGATCCAAAGGGTTTGTTTCACACTGAAGAAGACACCCATCAACGATCAACCTTCCACTCCGGTGAAGCAAGCAGCAGCCAAGCTCTACCCTCACTGTTAAGTTGGATAGTTTGCAAGTGGATGTGAACTCCAAGGCACTGCTCAAACAGAAAGAAAGAAACTTGGGAAAAAAGGGTCGCAGAAGATGACAATCTTAAGCCTTGTTCAGTGGTGTGGTGTGGCAAGTTTGAAGGAAATGGGAGGTAAAGACATGCTTATTTTCTAATCTAAAGCTCTGTTTGTTTACAAGTTTTTTTCATGAAAAATGTTATATATGTTTGGGATGTGAAAATATTTTGCAAGAAAGATTTTCCTAGAATTAGAAACAACCAAGATTTATCCAAAAGAAAATATTTCCTTAGATTCTTTAGACATTGAACAAGTTATTTTCGAGGAATATGCTACATTCCCTAGAAACAAAAGGAGCCCAAGACTAGTATATAGAGGCAAATTCAAAAATAGAAACAAATCCCCCCCACCCAAAAAAAACCATACAAGCTTTGAATGACTAGTATGACAACTGCGAGTACCTCATACTCCTTCCGACCTCCATCCAAAAAACGAGTCAGGTTTGTAGTACTTGTAACAAACTTTTTTTTGGATGAAATTAGCATCACTTAACTTCCAAGCGGAGGTGGTAATGAAGATTTTCCATACCTGTCTGAACCACGGGAGCAAGTAATTACAGTATCATCAGGAATTTGACCTGCACCAATCTGTAGAACAGAGTTGAAGTAGCAAAAGGGAGAGAAATATCATAGCTAAAAGGAAGATCAATTCTATTACTCCTTCCTCACAAAAAGGTTCCACATTTCTCTTTTTTTTCGTTTGTCCCAAAAAAAGATTCCACTTTCCATTTCATATACAGTATTATTTTTCTCTCCTCTGCAGTCTGCACCATTCCAACCACACAATTTCACTTTTCTTAGTAACCGCATTGATTCCATTGCGAAACCTTTTTGTAGGGCGGAGGAAGTACATAAGATATCTAGATCTGCTATGTGGATTAGGGTACCAAATGTTTAGTACATTAAATATTAAATGCATTGATTATTTATTATTCAAACCGACCTCCCGCAACCTCCTAGTGCAGTGATGGTTTCAAGATCAAAACAAGATAGTGGGAAAGAGGAAAGATGAACCAGCAGATTAAGAACATTATTTTCATTCCGACTTACCAGGCAAAGTGGCTTTCTAATCTGAATATTTGAAACACGATGACTTCCACCATCTGCAATCAGAATGGTGTCCCCAGGTCTGTGCATCATTCAGCCACAAGAAGAGATTGGATTTTCATGCATATTATTCCAAGGAGTCAGATCATTTCAATTTGACTGTCGCTAACTAACCTTGCAGCAGATACAGCTGTCTCAATGTTCGGGAAAATTCTGGGAAGGGAAAGATCCCTCAGGGAACGGTCAACTCGCAGCCAAAGATGTGGGTGGCATGCCAGGAAATTCCATCTGTGGCAAACCAGTGCGGAGTTATACCGATCTGCAAACTCAGCAGCAATTTGAGAAATAGATGATACATTGATACTACAACACACACGAATCTACTTTCAAGTTTGACTACCACAGGTGAGAGTCGTGATTCATGAGACAAAAATACACAGTTAACATAAACCCACCCATTCTGATGTCATTATAACTAAATCAAGATTTATTAACAATATAGCTATTCCAAAAAACAATATATCTGTTTTTACATTTCAGATATTGGAACTATAGCAGGTTAGAGCGTTATACTAACAAAGTTAAAGCTAAAAATGTTAAAACAAGCCCATTCAGAGGGGTTAAAGATGTAAATCCATTCCTATTGTTTCTGAGTAGAATTTTAAGTTAGTTTTTGAAAATTTGTTTGAAGGTTTCAAACTGGGTAACCGTGCACGAACTCTTATTTACAGAAATAACTACAAAATTAGAGCTTTAATATCGAAATGAGAAGGCCCATGATGAAGCTTTTAACCTTTTAATAGCATAATTGGAGATCGCGGAGGCACAAAATTCCAAAATTCAATAGTGTAATAGACAAACAAACGAAAATTTGGAGCTTCATTAGATACTCAGGGAATAGAACGGAAGATTATGATATATGAATATAGATACCTGGGATTGGGGAAAGGAAGCTGAAGATGTGCATGAGACATCCGTCGTCGAGGTTGTTAATGTTACGACGAGGGTGGTGGCAATAAGGATCAACCCCGGACTCCGACGTCGGCGAGTAGATCCAGCGCCTCAGTTTCCGCCGCTCTTCAGCGAACTCGGTCGCCAATCTCGAGTCCGAGAAGGCGATGCCGTCACGCCGATCGAGCACCATCTGTTGCGGGCTTGCGGCTCCCTGTGTTTTCAATAATTTGGTGCAGAAGTGCAGGATGACTCAAAGCTCATCAGTTCGGGCTACAATGGGAGTTGATTAGCAAAAACTATCCTCACTCCACCTCCCCAAAAAATACTCCTATTTGATTGGGTCATTCCTTGTTTTCTAAAATTTATGTAATTTATAAATTATCTATACGTGACATTCACATGAAAGACTTCAAAATCAAAATCAATTTGTGGGGTGCAATTGATGGGATAGGGAGTGTGTTTGGGTTGGGGCGGGGTGTTGGGTTTACCGGAGGAGGCTATAGGGGTAGGAACCGTCAATTTTACGAACGGGCACTGGAGCGCCCTCGGGTCATCCCATGGCATTGGGTTCCCAACCCAATGTCATGGGAACCCCACCATTGTGACATTAATTTTTAAATTTTATACTATTTTTTTTTATAAATTGAAATAAAAATAGTTTTGAGCCAAACACCATATTTCTTCCACCGTGTTTACATATAAAGAAGTGAACAAAACTATGGAGTAATATGCAAAGCTAGGGTAGTAGTTGATGGATCTAGAGATCAAGCCTCATCTAAGATGTTTGATCGGCCATCTAACTCACAAGTCACAACGATGCCCTTCTCGTAGATTTATTTCTTTTATTTATCTATAAATACTCTCCTACTTGTGGAGAAGAAGCCAGACCTTCTTTCCGACAATACAATCACAACATTTTCTTTTCCTAAACTTTAATCTATCTCGCTCTGGACTCCAAAATTCATCATAGGTGCAAGCATTGCGAGAGAAAACATTATTATGACAATCCTCCCCGTTCTTCTGACGAGAGTGAAACACACCAATTGTTTTCGCTCAAGAGGGTGCTCTTCCCGAGCCTCCCCGTCATCGATGACAT